GCATGTCGAGTGGTCCGAGAGATAGTATTTCGTGATTGCTTTATTAATGCATCCCTGGCTGGGTAGCGAGAGTGCTCGTTTAGTCGGGGCGGCACGGTCTTGAATGTGATGTGAACTTGGACTCGAATATCCCATTTATGTGTAGGTGAAGGGTGGTGACAAAACTCACGGGGGATATCCCCTCCGCTCAAACATAAACATAGCACGTTATATAACATTGTGGTACCATCGCTCAGCCCTCATTAATTGTGGGGATGGGCACCGCTCGTTGCAAAGAACCCCTGGTTTGTACACTACCCACAACACACACACACACACACACACACACACACACACACACACACACACACACACACACACACACACACACACACACACACACACACACACACACACACACACACAAACACGCATGTGCTCAGCACAAACAAAAAGATTGTTGTTGTTGCGTTCGCCGCCTACGCTTCGTGTGTTTTCTCTGCCCCCTTCCTTTCTTTCTCCATTTCCCCCATTCCCACACGCACATCCCCACTGCACTCCGCGACATCCCTCTCTTCTTCCCCGCGTCTCCCCCTCGCCCATGCCAAGCTCCATGATGGTGAACGAGAACACGTACCTGCTCCCGCCCCCGGCCGCGTCGCGAGGTATGCCAGCCACCCACCACCACCACCCTTGGGCAAGCCGCTGGCTGGTGTTTGCTGGCCGATATGCATGACGTCAGTGCGTTAGACTGTTTTGGCTTGGTGACAGGCTAGCCTGCACAACACGGCCGTGCGAGAGAGTGTGCGTGCGTGTGCTCTCCACTGCTCCTCGCCCTTCCTGGCTTCCCCTTCTGTCTGCCCTCCTGGTTTCCCTCTTCGCTACCTGTGCCAGCCCGCGCGGAGGTTGTGCTGTGTGGTCCCTCGTAAGTACGGGCCGGTGTGTTGGTCCTCAGCCAGCTGTGCGCTCACTGTACCCTGCCCCTCCTGCCCCTCCTGCCCCTCCTTCTCCTTGGCTGCAACCATGACCGCGATCGTATCTCCCTTTGAACAAGGCGACGATGAGCCTCAGTGGCCTCTCTACAAGAAGTGCATCGTAAGTCGACATTGTTTGGTGACGAGCGGGCTTGCAACCGGCCACGTGTCTTGTTGTACCTGAGCGCTACGTTTGCTTACGGCGGTGTGCCATTGAATACTGCGCTGTGCAGGCGGAGTTCTTTGCCACGCTTCTCTTCGTGTTCATTGGCTGCGGCGCCATCCAAACCGTTGACTACGAGGAAGGCCAGAAGATCCAGCTCAACCCACAGAGTACGCTGCGCATGGGCATGTTGGCTGAGGTCATTTTGTTGTTGCTGCTGCGACATGACGTCCAAGCATCGCTCTGTGGCTGAGGGCCCCGCCCGATTGCGCTGCATCGCACACACACACACACACACACACACACACACACACACACACACACACACACACACACACGCTCACCATGCCATTCTTCTGTGCCGCCGCTGCCCTTACCGTGCTGCAGCTGTTCTGACAATTGCCCTTGCCCACGGTCTTGCCATCTTTGCCCTCGTTGCTGCCACGGCAAAGATTAGGTAATGCAGGCATGTCCACTGCCTGAGAGGGTGTGATGTGACGAGCGTCCCTACGCTTGCACAAACACAATGATGTTCACACACACACACACGCGCGCGCGCACTTACTGGCTGGCTTACGCTTCTGCTCTGTCTTGATTGTTTCAGCGGAGGCCACATCAACCCTGCCGTGTCGCTGGGCATCTTCCTGGCCGACCACAAGACCTTCACCGCTAAGCACCTCGCTGCATATGTTGTATCACAGATCTCTGGCGCCATTGCTGGTGCCGCCATTCTCCTGGTATGCCACCCTGCGTCTACACGTGTGTCTGTGCGTGTGTGTCTGCGTGTCTGTGTGTCTGTGTGTGTGTGTGTGTGCGTGCGTGCGTTGATTGCTTGCGTCTTGAAGAAGCTGTTGGCACGTCGCTGTTGCCACTCCTTTTGAGTTACATGCGCTCGTTCTGAATTGGACTCACCTCGTGGTGTGCTGTTTGCGATGGCAACAGGGGGTGTATCCGCTGCACTACCTCCGCAACACCAACTTTGGCGCACACCAGCTCTCCCCCGCGGTGTGTGTGTGTGTGTGTGTGTGTGTGTGTGTGTGTGTGTGTGTGTGTGTGTGTGTGTGTGTGTGTGTGTGTGTGTGTGTGTGTGTGTGTGTGTGTGTGCTGTGGCGTGCGTTGCGTGGGCTCGATCACACTTTCTCTTCCAAACTCACCGTTGACTGTGACACGATGGCACTTGTGCCGACGTGCGGTGTCTGGGTTTGCCGGCTGGATGTGGTTGTGTTTGCAGTTTACTGTTGGCAACGGCGTCCTGCTTGAGGCCATCTTGACAATGCTGCTCGTGCTCGTCGTGCTCCGCACCGCCGTCGATCGCGTTGGCCAGGTGCGCCGCATGCGAGAGTGTGTATGTGTGTGTGTGTGTTTGTGCTTGTGGGCTGCCGATTGATTTGCAGTTCTGAATGCTCCGCTTCTCATCTCCAGCGCTCATCATGTGTTCGCTTGCTTGGTTGACAGAGCTTTGCACCCCTTGCTATCGGCATCGTTGTCACCATCGATCACCTTGTTGGGTACGCAAGCTGCGTGGATGCTTGTGGGGGATCATGCTTGCGCATCCGTTGCTGTACCTTCTTGTGGTTGCACTGCCCGTGCTTCTGAACCACATCTCTTCCCTCACACAGCGTTCGCACAATCCCGCTCACCCCCCCCCCCCCTTCTCATCTAGCGTGCCTGTGACTGGCGCGAGCATGAACCCTGCGCGGTCGTTTGGCCCTGCGCTCCTCGGCAATGCCTGGACCAACCACTGGATCTACTGGGTTGGCCCCTCCGTTGGCGCCGTCGTCGCTGCCTTCCTCTACTTCGTTCTCCTGCGCACCCGTGTGTAGACCGCGCGTGGTGTGGGCCAGTATGGCGCCTCGTTTCACAACCCTGTCGTGTGTGGCTGCGAATGTAGCTGCTTGTATTGTTGTCATCAGGTCTCCGGCGAACCCCTTGCAGAACACACGTGTGAACGATCTACTTGCACCTCTCCCCTTCCATTCCTTTGTTCCGCCCCACCCCCTGCACTTTCTTTGGTTTGCTCCCCTGCCCTTCCGCTAGACATCCCTTCTATCTCTGTGTGTTTTGTTTGTTCTTTGGTTTGTTCTCTTGCCTCTCCGTATGGCGGGAAAATCAAAACTACACAGAGATGATGCAAACACACACAATGAATCAGACGTTTGTGCGAAATCTCAATCAACTTCCCGTCAGCACGCGGATATGAAACAAAAGAAGCAAGCATGCTTACAGCGTGCGAGAGGAGAAAGGGCGGGAAGTGAACTGGGATTCACACGTCGTGCTGTGTGCTGGGGAGTGCGATGTGTTGTTTGTCTGTTTGTCATTTACACGACGCCCACGCCCAGCCAAACAAGCACGCAGCCAGGGCAAGCCTCGCAAGCACCGAAGACATTTCCTCTGAATGATCAACATGAGGTGTGTGTGTGTGTGTGTGTGTGTGTGTGTGTGTGTGTGTGTGTGTGTGTGTGTGTGTGTGTGTGTGTGTGTGTGTGGTGATCCGCTCTGCATTGTGCCCCTTGGGCCCATGTAGTCTATTATGCAGTGCAGTCCCTCAGTCCGCATCCTTTAGCATTGTCGTAGGCCTGTACCTGTACATTCATGTCGACATCATCTGTTCTTGTTTCCCTGTTTACCCCTGTGTTAAAGCCACGCTACGCCCGAGCACAGCATCAGCGACAGCACGCACGATACTGTGGTTGTTAGTGCTTCGTGCAACAGCAAGCTGGATGACAGCGGCGCCTTTCCCCAAGACAGTACTTGCCAGGCGCTAATCCAGGAACTGAAAGATGTGGTGTACGGGTACAACCAGTTCCAGGAAGCGAGCGTCTGCAGGCTGATGAGAGAAGGTGCGCACACTGCTGTTCAACAATCACCAAGAAGCAAGAGCCCTGGTCTCTTATCAGTGCAGACGGAATCACAGAATTATGCACACAACACCTCAGCCATCCCTCTCCCACCTCCAACGCCTCCCTGGTGCTCTGACGCTTGTGCCTTTCACCGCTAATGCCATTCGCCCCCCCCCCCCAACAAATACGCAACCGAACGCGGCAGTGTCCGACGCCAAGAGCGAGCTGCTGCAGGCCTGGACGCGCGCCCTTGACGCGGCAAACGAAAACCTCGAGGCCATGATAGCGACGGAAAGGGAAGCCTTCAACAGCCGCGTCTCCCTCGCCAAAGACCTGGTTCACGCCTTACGTGAGTGTAGCGTGGTGCAGCTCGCATTCGTGCTTGTGCAGCCATCTCCACTGTCACACGCACGTCTTGTTGGTTGTTGTTGTTGTTGCATGGTTGTTTACTGCGCCTGGCACAGCAATGCAAGGTAATGTGATGATCTCCTAACAGCGAGCTAACCCATCACACACACACACACACGCACGCAAACACACACACAAACACATGTATACGTATGTCTGCTGCTGCTGCTGCTGCTGCTGCTGCTGCTGCTGCTGCTGCTGCAGAGCAAGAGGAAGCCAAGATCCGAGAGTTCAAGGCCAAGTTCCCAAACCTCCTTCTCTCCTCTCAGCACTGACACAACACGACAGCGAAAGCCGAAAGCAAACATCAACAAGTCAAGCTGCCCACCTGGCCCATTGGCTTGAGTTCTGTCACATACATCATTGCACACCATGTCATCGATCCCATAGCCTGTGCCCCAGCTGTTCTTTGCCCCTCACCCACCCCCCTCTGTTGCCTACTCTGATAGTTTCTTCATTTGATTCGAGGGCACGTGGCGGAGCGGGGCGTGGTCGTCTTGCAAGTGAACAACACTGTTCCACGTCTCGAGATGCCAACCATGAGTGGGGTGCCACGTGAACTGTTATTGGTTGTTGTTGTTGGTGGTTTGAACATGAGTACACAGCGCACAAAGCCAACCAGGCGTCAAGCAAACTGCAACAGACAGACAGACACCCACAGACAGACACCCACACCTCCCCACACATGGACAGACAGACACACCCCACCCCGAGGCCCCCCCCCACACGTACCTCGTTTATACTAGCGTTGGAGATGGCGAACCGTCGTGGGCGACCAAACGGCAGCTGCAGAATGTGTGTCAATGCCACGTTTAGAGCGCCACCATGCGTGACAACCAGCACCGTCTCCCCTTGGTGGTTTGCAGCAATGCGGTCCAGACTGAAGGCAATCCCGTGAACCATGCAAGCGTACGCGTGTGAGAGCAGTGGATTGATTCACGGGTGACGCAGTTACCCGCTGTCTTTGCAGTACTGCACCAACACCAAATTCCATGCACATACATACATGCACGCACACCCACCCACCCACACGCACACACACACACGCACACGCACACACACACACATGCACGCACACACACACACGCACACGCACACATACACACACACACGCGCACACACAGACACACCAGCACGCCCGCCCGCATGTGCCTCACGCTGTAGTGACGCGTCCTGCAAACTCCGCGAGGGATTCTCCGCCCTCAAGTTCAAAGTCTGGCTCTCCCATGCTGCCAATAACCTCTTCAGCCACAGTGAAGCGACATATACGTGCAACAAGGGGTCATGCGAGTGTGTGAGTTCAAGCGAGTGAGTGAGGGTGTGACAGGACCGAAGCGCACATGTTTTGAAGATGTTGGATGCAAGGGCACAGCTGAGCAGTGCCACCCATGCCTGCGTCACAACAACGAGTGGGATCGGCGGTGTGGCAGTAGAACAAGTCACCGCCGTACCTGGGAAATGGAGAGCGCATTCCATTCGCGTGTGCCCTTCCAAGATGCCCAAGCACCGCTCACGGAGCGCGGGATCCCGCACAATATTATCTGCCTGAACGGATGAGAGGGGGTAGTAGGGTTGTTGCACGCTAGTGAGGGAATGGGATGGGTAGGACTGAACGATGGGAGCGGGGAGGGAAAGAGTGGGCAAGCTGGCACGGGCGAGTGTGCGTGCGCCGTGACAGCACTTATGCACAGAGGTGGGGAGGGAGAGGCACAACAGGAAGAAGGAGAGCGACACAGACAGACAGACAGACATAGGCAGACAGACATAGACAGACATACACAGGCACACGTACGTACAGAGAAGGTGGGGTGAATGTCTGTGATGTGTCGGGCGGTGTCGTGTGCTCGTTTGAGGTCTGACGAGTACACTGCATGCACATGTCGATCCTGTAGCGCCCTGGCAACACACATGGCCTGCAAGTGGACGCAAGAGGGGAGCGAAGTGTTGAGGACGCTTGCCAGGAGGACAAGCAATACCAAGAAGACAACCATCAAAGCCGACACACAGACACAGACACAGACACAGACACAGACACACACCTGCTGCTTGCCCTTTTCATTGAGATCCACATCGCGATGTCCTTGTAGCCGCCGCTCCACGTTCCATGTTGTCTCCCCGTGCCGCACCAAGATCAACCTCGTCTCCTCCTCAGCCATCATCATCGCTGTGCTGCGTCGTTGGTGCGCCGTTTTTGTGCCACTTCTTCGCTTTTGCTCCAACCCACCAACAAGCGAGTCCAGCCAATCCTGCGCACTCCTCGCTCGCTCGCTCGCTTGCTTGCCCGTGCGTGATGCAGCAAGGATCTTCGCCCCGTCTGACGCGGCAAGCAGCGCCGTCGACGCCGGCGTCGGTGCTCGCTGCTGTGCTACTGCTGCCCTCCATGCTTGTGGTGATTGTGCCCTACGTCATCCTGCGCACGGGCTTTGGATACCGCGTCCCCGACGAGAATGTGCGTTGGCGAGGCCATGTGTATGTGTGTGTAGGTGTGCTGATGTGCATGCGTTTGCGAGGGTGTGTGCTTGCCTGTGTGTGTGCCTGTGTGTGTGTGTGTGCCTGTGTGTGCCTGTGTGTGTGCCTGTGTGTGTGCGCATGTGTGTATGAGGGCTTCTTGAAAGTTAACAGCGCAAACGACATGCGTACACACACACACGCACACACGCGCACACTGATGCTGTTTCTGGCTGGCCATCGGTCCTTTCTCATGCTGTGTTCACATCAACACCGACACAACCAGGTGACGACCTTTCGCTTCTTTGGCCTGCTGCCATTAGCTGCTGGCGCGTTTATGTGCTTATGGGCGTTCTGGGATCTGCTTATCCACGGCGGCGGCAAGCTGCCCATCTTTAGGCTTACGCAGGTGCGTGCATTCGCTGCACAGAGGAGAGGGACAAGGTGTGCGAGGCAGTGATTGGTTGCACACAGTTTATTCTCATGGCTATGGCGTGGGCAACACATGCTTTCGTAATGCAAGTGCGTGTGTGCGTATGCGTGTGTGAGTATGCGTGCATGTATGCGAGAGAGAGGGGGGGGGAAGAGTGTGTGCGGGTGCGTGAGAGAGAGAGAGTGTGTGTGTGTGTGCGTGTGTGGGTGAGAGAGAGAGAGAGAGAGAGAGTGTGTGTGTGTGTGTGTGTGTGTGTCTGTGTGGGTGGGTGAGAGAGAAGGAAAGAGAATAGTAGTGTGCGTATGTGTGTGTGCACTTTACGTGGTTTGTTCACTCCTTCCAGTCACTCACCCGCATGTGGACCAACACTTGTTGTTAATGCACACCCAGCTTCCCAACGGATCAGAGACTCAGGTGTTTAGGTGAGACCCGTGCACATGCATGTGCGTGCGTGCGTGTGGGCCTTTGACGTGGGTAGTGCACATGTGGGCCGACCCGCTTGCTTGAATTGTCACACACACACACACACACACAGCCGATCCGTTTCTGTGGCGTGTAGCTTGCAACTCATCTCATGTACACACACACACACACACACACACACACACACACACACACACACACACACACACACACACACACTGCATGGCTTGCCAGGGGCGTGTTTCGGTACACACGAAATCCGGTGTATGCAGGGGTGTGTTTGACGTTATTTGGACAAGCTGTGTACTTTGTCAGTGGGACGCTGTTCTTCTTCACCCTGCTGTGCTTTGTCGCACTGCATCTCCTTGTGGTGGTGCACGAGGAGCCCTTGTACCGCGCCCTCTACCAGGAGGCCTACTCGGAATACTGCCGCCGCGTTCCAAGGTGACGACGCATGACAGCGCGCGTTTGCTTTGGTTCTTTCTCGGAGAGTGGCCATTCGTGCCTCCTGTTCTTGCCGTGCACAAACAAGTGTTCACACGAACCACGGCCATCACAACTTTGTGCATCGTGGCGTGGTGTGCTTCTTCTTCATCATCGTCATGTCATCATGGTCATCATGATGTACATTGACACGCACACACACACCCACACACGCACACACACACACACACACTCTCTCACACGCACACACGCACACATACACACACACACACACTCACACACTCACACTGCCAATGCAGGTGGAAGCCGGAGTGGGATAAGGTGTTGGCCGAGGAGAACATCGGCCGCGATGGCCTGCCGCGTTGAACATGATCGTTCCGACAGCATAAATAATAGACCAGTCACAGTGGTGGATACGACCCTGTGGTGTACAACTCGCTGTGTGGACTTTTAACGAAAGATTTCCCCTGACCATCGTCCACGGAACACCATCAGCCAAGATGGTGAGGGCAGTGGCGGGTGGCTGATGAATGAATGCGAACGTGTGCGCGCAGTGGCGCTTGCAGAAGAGAAGCACGCCATATGGGTTGTGCGTGGATGGGTGTGGGTCTGAAAGAGGGGTGCTGCTTGTTAACGGTGCTTGTAGAGCATACATCGCTGTGTGTAAGCGTGCATACGACCGTTGTTGGCTGACAGCGCGAGCACGTTGCACGTAGCACGTTGCACAGCATCGACAAACAGTGATGCCAAGCGCTAGTGTCATTGGTGGTTGTTGGATGAAGCAGGGTGGTGTACATGGATGGTTGCAGTGTGCGCCCGGTGCCTGAAATCTGCTTTGTCGCAGCGCAAGTGACAAAGCAGACAGACAGACAGACAGACACAGACACACAGACACAGACACACACAGACACACACAGACAGACACACACAGACAGACAGACACGCAGACTCACTCTCTGTTGCTGTCTTGATATGTTGCCTTCCAATGTATGCAGCCGCCCGGAAAGAGCAACAAGATCCTCAAGTACATGAACTACCGCATGCGGGTCACCACAGAGGATGGCCGCATGTTGGTGGGTACCTTCATGGCATACGACAAGCACATGAACATGGTCTTGTCAGACTGCGAGGAGTTCAGAACGGTACGACTTGACAATGGGTGCATGTGCGCGCGCGTGTGTGTGAGTGCTGTTGGGTGTTTGTTCCACGGATCGCTGGCTCTGGTCGCATGCTCTGTGCGTTTGCTGTTTGATTGTCGCAGTAGACGTTGCTGACTCACACGCCCTTCGCCCTGTCCATCAAACTTTTCATGCACATCAACCGTCATTGTCTTGCACCAACGATCACCACCTCCAGGTGAAGGCAAAGAAGGGTACAGATGAGCAAACACAGAAGCGCGCATTGGGCTTTATCCTGCTGCGAGGCGAGAACGTCGTCTCAATGGCAGTGGAGGGCCCTCCTCCACAGGAGGTGCGTTGCGTTCGTGTGAGCTGGCATCATGATCTTGGCTGCCCAACTTCTTGGAACCTTCTTCTTGTTATCTGCGTGTGTGTTGTTTGTGTGTGTATGTGTGTGTATGTGTGTGTGCGTGTGTTGTGTGTTGTGTGTTTCTGTCTATCTGTACATTTCTCTGCTTGTCTGTTTGTTGGTGATCATACTCACTCGACGTACGCATAACCCCGCGTGCTTGTGTCCCATCATCAGGAGAAGCGCACCGTTAAGGTTGCTGCCCCAGGCCCCGGTGTTGGCCGCGCAGCTGGCCGCGGTATTGTCACACAGATCAACGCACCGCCTGTCGGTCTCGCTGGGCCTGCTCGCGGTGTTGGTGGTCCCGCCCCATCAAACATGATGCCCCAACAAAGCGCGCCACCACCAGGTGTGTGTTGGTGTACATGTGTATGTGTGTGTGTGTATGCTGGTGTGTGGGTGTGTTGGTCCTGCGTACGAGCGTGGAATGGCGTGGTTCAGTGGTAATATGTGCGTGCTGTTGTTCTGCCAACCGTTGCCCTGCAACTTGCCACCCATCTCAAACACGTCACTGACAAGTATCGATCATCCCCTGTTCACTTTACCCCCTCGCCTCTTCTCGCCCCTAACTCCCCCTTACTTCTCTGCTGTTTGCCACCGTGTGTGTCCACCTGCAGGTGCGCGTCCGCCCATGCCGCCGCCGCCTGGTATGGGTGGTCCACCCGGCATGCGACCCATGGGTGGTCCACCAGGCATGCCCCGCGGACCCCCACCTCGCCCGGGCATGGGCATGCCCCCAGGCTTCAGGCCCGGAATGCCCCCACCAAGTACGCAGTTGCCTTGTGTGTGTGTGTGTGTGTGTGTGTGTGTGTGTGTGTGTGTGTGTGTGTGTGTGTGTGTGTGTGTGTGTGTGTGTGTGTGTGTGTGTGTGTCTGCGTTTGTTTGCGTTTACTGTGTTTGTGTGTGTGCATTTGTTTGCGTTTACACATGCATGCGTGTTTGTTTGTTTGTGTGTGTGTGTGTGTTGATGTGGTTGCTCGCCGCTGTCACAGTTCTCATACCTTCTTGTTTGCCGCTGCTCCTTCCACCCACCCATCGTTTGGTCAGACATGCCCTTCCGTCCTCCCCCAGGCTTTGGCCGTGGCATGCCGCCCCAGTAGTCTCGTCCTGTCTGTGCCTGTTGTGTTGTGTGGCTGTGGTCGTTGATTTCGCTGTCTCCTCTGTCTGCCTTGTTCGCGGCAGACAACCTTGGTCCCATCTTGTGTGAATGTTGCTGTGCATGTGGATCCGTTGTTACGTGTAGATTGGCGCTGAGTGCAAAGAGGGCGAATGTGCGCGCGCGTATGTGTGTGTGTGCGTGCGCGCGTATGTGTGTGTGTGTGTGTGTGTGGGTGTGTGGGTGTGTGGGTGTGTGGGTGTGCGTGTCCATTTCTGAGCGCCACGTCGTGCGTGGGCGCCAAGTGACCTTTGCCGTCGAGTTGTGTGATGTGTGATGATGATGATGTGATCTGCCATTGTGATGTGTGATGCACCAGTGAACGAACCAATTATGCAACACTCAGGTCAGGTCGTATCGTGTGTTGTAACATGACAACAACAACACGGAGAAGACAAGAGATGTCCAGTGCGTGGCACAAGTCCTACAACGTCATTTTCAGTGTGTGTGCAAAAAGCACGTGTGTGCACGACGTGATGAGCGTTGTTGGAAAGGCTCGCACAGAGCTGGCTGCGCAGCTTGAGGCTGAGTTGCGGCAGCTTCCGCCCAAGGCCACAGCCCTGTCGTGTCCGCACGCCACGCCGATTGAGCAAGGGGACGATGTTGAGTCGGAAGACCACCACAAGCAGCTGCGAGCCTGCTTGCCCTGCATCCTCACCGACTATCCTCTCGCCACAAAGGTGTGTGTGTTTGTTTGTGTGTGTGCGTGTGCGTACGTGTGTATGCGTGTGTATGTGCGTGTGTATGTGTATGTGTGTGTATGTGCGTGTGTATGTGTGTATGTGTGCATATACACACATATGTTAGTGTGTATGTGTATGCATGTGTGTGTGTATGTGTATGAGTGTGTGTGTGTGCGTGAGTTGTTCCACACCCATCCCTCCCCAGCGCTCCCCCCTCCTCACAAGCACCGTACGTCATCATCGCTTGCTTGTGGTTATCCTGTCATCCACGCTTGTCTTCATTGCAGATGGTGTACCTGCTGCGATATGACGACGATAGCGTTCGCACCTCTGCGCACGATGCTGCCAGTGGCACGTACATCAGCGCAGTGCCTCCCAACAAGGATTTGATGCGGCCGTGCATGCTCACATTCTATCGCCCCGCGGACGAGACGATGGCGCCAGCCCTAGCAGAACACGAGGAGGAGGAGGAGGAGCAGCAGCAGCAGCAACAGCAGCAAGAGCAGGAACAGTTGGAAGCGCAACAGCAGGAGCAGCAACAGCAGCAACAGGGGCAGCAGGCGCCTGGCGGCGAACAGATGCTTTCACAACAACCAGTCCACACACAATCCAGCCCACTCTTCACGGTGGAGCACTTCCATCTCGACCAGCCCAACTTGGTCACAGCCCTGCCTCGCGGATATGTGCCAGCGCTACAGCGCCTTGCCCAGCAGCACAGCCTGGAGTGTGCACCTGGCGCACAGTGCCATCTGTGGCTTCACCCGCCCCACACGGCGTTTGGCACTCCGAGAAAGGCTGCTGCTGTCGCTGGCAGCGGCAAGTACACGCTGGGCCGGCTGCGGCAAGAGCATGCAGACCTCATCAACCGCAGGTGGACATATGGGGGCACACCTGCATCGCTCCGCTTCATCCAGCACCTCATTGACACGTTCCACACGGCTGCTGCCTTTGCCGCCGACGGCACACCCGTGTGCTGGGCGCTGCAGCAGCCGTACGGAGCCATTGGTATGGTGCACACGGAGCCTGAGCACCGGCGACAGGGGCTGGCGAGTGCAGTGGCGCTGATGTTGGCTGAGCAGATTGAGGCGGGCGGCCAGCTTGCGTATGCGTACATCACCGATGAGAATGCATCATCCCAGGCCATGTTCACCGCACTTGGCTTCAGACAGACAAGCGCCACAGACTGGTGGCACGTGCGGCCCACGTAATGCCTGTGTGTGTTGTGTGTGCTGTGTGTGCTGTGTGTGTTGTGTGTGTTGTGTGTGTTGTGTGTGTGTGTGTGTGTGTGTGTGTGTGTGTGTGTGTGTGTGTGTGTGTGTGTGTTCTCTCTCTCTGTGTGCATGCAGTGCGTGCGTTTGCAAGTAAGGTTGGACCCACTCGTGCCCTGGCTTGCTGTCCTGTCGTGGCTGGTTGACACTTCCTTCCCCACAAGCACCACCATCCACCCCAGCCGTCTCTCCTCTCGCGCTCCCCCTCCCTCTTAGATTGGCTATCAATAGCGTGTTCACTTAAGGCAGGGCAAGCACAAGTAAATGAAATGCAGTCGTGCAGTGTGGGATTCAGTGAAGCCACAGCTGAAGAGCGTGCACATCAACAATAATGATCAAAAGCACACAGGGCAAGATGGGAGTGGGGCGTCGTTGTTGTGGCTATGGTTGACGTGTAACAGTGGAAGAGGCAGGACGACAAGAAGGCTAGGAACCACCGAAGAACACTCAACCCAGCAAAGCGCAGAATAAAGGAAAGGAAAGCCAGCCACAACCAAACACAGACAGACAGACAGACAGACAGACAGACAGACAGACAGACAGACACACACACACACACACACACACACACGCTACCTCCTCCTGGACACGCCGATGCATCACTCCATGTCGTTGCCGGCTGCCTCACATCCCATCAGATGCAGGTCCTCCAGCGAACGCATTTCATCCGGCGTGACGTAATGCGTACCCAACCACCGCGTGGAGCAGCACTCCTTTCCTTCTTTGGCTGTTGGACAATACTTCCAGTACCAGTTGTTCGGGTCGTCTGATTTGCGCGCGCTGCGCTCTGCGTCCAAACCAAGCGCGATAAACAGGTTACGCCCCTCTGCATCCAGCGACTCGACGGCCGGAACGCCAATCCGCTTCATGGAGATGCCAAGTTCCATGTCTGTGTTCAGGAAAGGCCGGGGGAGAGCGGGGGGGGAGGGGGAGGAAGATGGGATGGGTAATATGGTGTGTTGAAGTAGACCACAAATAGGGTGCTGGGCGGGTGACAGGGGGCACTTGTTTCGGGGGGATGATGTCAAACACCGTTGACGGCACACACACACACACACACACACACACACACAGACACAGACAGACAGACACACACAGAGACACACACACACACACACACACATTCTCTCTCGCTTTCTCTGTGAAGCGCACCGTCTGCGAAGGTGTTCCAGTCATTGAAGATTGGTTTGCCTTGCGACACGGCCCGGCCCAGCTTTCGCAACGCACCGCGGCTGAGGATGGTGCCAGAGCCGCCGCTGTAGAACGGCACCTGGTGGATAGAGACGCAGAAGAGGAAAGGGGGTGGGGTCGTGGTGGGGCAGAGTGAAGACCAACGGGCAAGGGATTGTTAGTGTTGGAGGACGTGTTTGAAAAGGTTAGTGTTGAGCAAGTGAGCAGGTCATAGTCATGGTCAGCTGCGTGATAGGCCATGGGTGGATGATAATCAAGAAGGTAGAGAGCATGGCAGCATGTCACCATCATGGTGTCGACATTGGTTCACACGTGCACAAGGGGGGGGGGGGGATGGATCAAGCGCGCCGGGAGTGAGGCAGTTCACAGCAGCGCGGCGCCAGCTCACCCGCTTCTCGTTGAAGTGCCCGAGAAAATATCGCCCAAAGTAGTGCAGGTCTTCCGGTGACTTGTCGTCCAGAAACTCACGAAGGTTGTCCATCATCTGCCATGCGCACACGTGGCGTGAGGTGTGTGTGTGTATGGGATGGGTGAGGTTGGGAGGTGAGGGAATGATGATGATATGATGCAAACAGTGCAGGTGCTCTGTACTGCTTGGGGGGGGGGGCGAAGAACGCATTCATCGGAATACAGACGAAGAGACGGCTCAATGAGTTCTCACTCACACATCCACCCCATATCCGCCGAACATATTCACACACACACGCACACACACGCACATGGCACGGGCTCGCGTACCATGAAAGTGTCGTCGTCACCGCGGATGAACCAGTCGTAGCCGTTGAGCTCTCGTCGGTACGCGCGGATCCATGCCTGCTTCGACTTGGCCCACAGCATGTCCCTCGACTCCTCTTGGTCTGGGTTCAACAAGGGTCAACACGTGACAGGAGGACAGCAGGAGGAGGTGCAGCGATGCATGGTGCGTAGGAGGAAGGGGAAAGAAGACGAAGACCACAAGACATGGTGGAAGGAAGACAATGGAATGAGCAAATGCAAAGCAGAGAAGGAAAGGAGAACAAAACAAAGAAGCATCGCGCTCGCGCGACACTTGCATGCTTGCATGCAGCTTTGATTGCAGCATACACAGACACAGACACAGACACAGACACAGACACAGACACACACACGCAACCAAACAAAACCACACGGATGGCCTACCGAGACGGGCAATCCACACATCCAGGCCGGGGTGCCGCTTCGTAGTGACAAAGACGAGCTTATCACAGTGACGTGCCCACGTGTCGCGAACCTAAACACACACACACACACACACACACACACACACACACACACACACACACACACACACACACACACACACGCACACACACACACACACGCACACACACACACACACAAGCAAATTGGAAGTTGACGCGTGAGCGTGGAAGCAATGCACAGCACGATTGCAGCTTCTAACGTCCACACATTGGCATGGGAGAGGGCCACAGGTGCGCTGTTCCAAGGTACAACCACAGCAGAGCAGCGACAGAGCGGTGGGGACAAACAAAGGGGCGACATGCGAGTGGTCCCGCACCGTGACGGCCTTTGTGTCGTGGTTCTTTGGGTTGGTCATGATCCAGCAGAAGATCTTGCCGCCTTTGCCATTCATGGTTTCGTAATTGTACATGGGGCGGGCCTGCGTGCAAGCACAGAGCGTGTGAGGAAGGCATGAGTGCGGGCGAAGCATGCCAAGAGCACATGGCGCAGCTGCAACTCATGGCAGTTGGTGGACGGTCCGTCTTTGACATGAAGCATGAAGCATGAAGGCATGTCACGTGTGCAGAAACACAGTTACGCCAGCACACAGACACACGAACAGACGCACAGACACAGACAGACCCACATGTTTTGCATGTTAGATTTACTGGCCATTCTCTGCACTTGCGCTCACCTTTGGTTGCTTCTTGCTGATGGCCACTTCTGTGACGGTGCGGGGTGTGTCATGAAACAATGCATTGAAGTGCATGGCCTGTCCAAACAGCACATAAAGGACAACACACGAGGCACGAGACCCCGTGGGTGCGTGTGAGGGAGGTATGAAAGAGAGGTGAGGGGGTTGGAGTACATCTTGGCTCAGAGGTGTTGGTTGGGCTGTGCATGTGAGTGAGTGTGTGTGTGTGTGTGTGTGTGTGTGTGCATGCAAATCTTTTCATGTTACCTGCAGGCACCGGTGCTGGCCGCATTCGTGGAGCCGAACACTGGCCACGTCGTCGCCAAAGGGGCTGCGGAAGAGTGGCGAAGGGGGGAAGGAGACACATGAAATGACAGCGTGAACTGTGGCGTTTCCGCACCCAGGAAAGCGATATGCACGCCACAACACGCAACAACATGCCACAGACACAGACGCACGCACACACGCATGCACACAAACACACACCTTGGTGCTGTGAGGCACAAGCTGGTGCCGACAAGCTGCACAGATCCGGTGAGGTTCCAGGCATACTCCTTTGCAGGGAGAAAATCAAACTTCTGGCCTTTTGCTTTGTCATCACAAGGCTGCACCCTCAAAATGCCGCCTTTCTCCACGCCTGTCAGAGCAGCATGTGCCATTGATAGCATGAATGCACAAGCCGGAGCGATCACAGCAGAATGCAATCCAAACGAACCACGCAGCACGAGTCACAGCACGGGGGCAAACGCATGACGGACATGCCCACATACACAGACACAGATACAGACACAGGCACACACGCACAGACAGACAGACAGATAGACAGACACGCACAGACAGATAGCTAGACACACACGCACACACACACACACACACACACACACACACACACACACACACACACAGCATTCACAGACCCACACACCCTTACCAGTTGCATCGATGCACCAGTTCTCGCTGGTTTGGATCTGCTGGTGTGCGGTGTACTTCCAAATCTGCTTGGGCTGCTTGCGGTTGCAGAAGTAGACGATGAGGCGCTCTGGGTCGTAGCCGTCAACGCAGTCCATGTTGCGGGTGATGCGGATTTGCCCTGGCCGCATGGGCTGACCGAGGTCGTAGAACTGGTCGCGATCGTCATCAGCACTACCAGCCTCTTCGTCAGCACTGTCGCCGCCCTCCTCGGCTGCGGCGGGCGGCAGGCCTTCTTCCTTGTGGATGCGCTGGCTGATGAGCTTGTGCAGCTGGTGCAGTAGTTGGTTTGTGTCAATCTCACCATGCTCACCAAGCGGTTCACCAAAGCTGCTGTGCACGCCAGGCCGCGAGTGCGACATGTTTTGCGACTGCATGCGATTGAGGATGGTGCGGCTCAGCGTCTCCGCCCGCTCCAAGCTTTCCAGCGTGCGGTCCAGCTGTGCCGTGTGTGTTGTATTGTGTGTGTTGTGTTGCATGTGTTGTATGTGTGTGTGTATGTGTGTGTGGAAGTGAGCACTGGCCACTCATTCACGCATGCATGCATGTAGTTGTTGTTGAGCAAGGAAGCAAGGAAGCAAGGAAGCAAGCAAGCATGCATGCTGCTGACGAGTGCACCGTACAAAACAAACCAGCATCACCAACAAAAGCAACGCGAACCAACAACAACAGCAGCCAACTATCTAAGTGTGGTAACAACGCACCCTTGTTTCGAGCTCGGAGACTTGGGACTGTGCACGGTCGAGGCGAACGGGAGCCAAGGCACCTGCCCCGGCAGCGGCGAGAGTGATGGTGTCATCGCGCTCTCGCAACGATGCACCGCCCTGCGCTGCAGACAGGGATGCTGTTGGTGGATACACTGACCATCGGCCCAGTGTTACCAGCAGCACCACCAAGCAACCGCCAGTCAACACAACCAGCCACCTGTTGTTGAGCATCCTCTGTGGTCGTCAGTTCTTGGGTGTTGGGCCAGCAGAGCGACGAGGGAGAAGTGATGATCACACCGCGATCTCTGCTGCAGCACGTTGGCTGTCTGCTGGGTGTGGCTGGCTAGAATGCTTCGAATACCGTTGCAGTGCTGTTGCTTTTGTGCTTGCAGGCAGCCCGCTGGCTGGCCAAAAAATTTCGGCGCATTCGACACCACAAACAGCAGTGCCGCGAACTGCAAATTCGCGTTCGGCGCGGCAGCGGCCTCCGCTGTTGGCGCACTCCGTCGCCATTTCTTCCAACAACCAACGACAGCACTCACAGCAAGCGAGCGAGCGAGTCAGCACTGTCGCAGAGCACCTCCAGCAGCTAGCCATGTCACACGGCGAAGAGTGGTTCAACGAGATGGCGTCCACTTGGGTGAGGCACCGGTGTCGTGGTTGTGCTTGGGCTTCTTGCTGTTACTGCACAACAACTTACTTTCTTTCGCAGGCTCATGCACACTTTGATTCTCTGATGGATTGCAGGATGCCAAGCCCGAGATCGTCGCCAACACGAAGAACGTCCATGCACAGATCATCAAGCACCTCGAAGAGCGGTTCGTGCTCATGTTGGCATGTGTGTGTATGTCTGTGTATTTGTGTTTGTATTTGTGTGTGTGTGCGCGCGTATGTGTGTGTGTTTGTTTTTGTGTGTGTGGCACATGTGCCCTCATGCATACACACACGCGCTCGCTCACACGCACATCCCCCCACAATACCTCCACGCATGCACCCCCGCGCTCACGCACGTACATGCAATGCATTAGTGGTCAGAGCCTGTCCTCGATGGACGTCATGGAGGTTGGCAGCGGCACAGGCCTGCTCTCCACCCTGCTCGCCAAGGACTCCAAGGTCAGTAGCCCTCACGGTGCACAACAGCAAACAAGCTGCGCGCCATGAGTAAACATACGTACCAACCAACTAAACTAACTGCAGCGCTAACTCAGCCGACCGTCATCTTCGCTCGCTCTCACTACACCCCTTGCTGCCGGTAACAGAGCCTGCTGGCCGTGGACACGTCGGAGAAGATGCTGGAGCGCCTCATGGACAAGGTCAAGGAGTCCAACCTGGGCAACGTCTCCACCCTGAACGAGCCGCTCGTCTCCGTGGTCGGTCGATGTTGCCGCGCGTGTGTGTGCTTGTCTGCTTGTGTGCTTGCCTATGCGTGCTTGTGGTTTTGCTTGCGTGCTTGCCTGTGTGTGCTTGTGGTTGTGCTTGTGTGCTTGCGTGTGTATGTATGTGTGTGTGTGTGCCTGTGTGGACCATAAGGCTTCTCTCTTATGTTGACCTGAGATCGGCTGGTTGGTTGATGGCATTGGCGCACTGCTCGTTTCCTCTGCATTTCGTGCTGCTGCTTCAGGACCAGCTTGGTGGGCGCACATTTGATCTCATCGTGATGTGCCTCACCCTTCACCACGTCGACGACATCCAAGGCCTGAGTGCGTTCATCTGCTCTTCTTGTGACATTTGTAGTGTGATCTTGCACATGCAACGCATGCCACACCACACTTCCATGTCATGACAGCCAATAGTTGGTCCACAACTCACACCTCTTAAATTCACGACCACCATTGCGTGCAAACAGCCAAGACCATCAGCGCTGCGCTCAACAAGGGCGGCCAGTTTCTTGTGTTTGACTTTGAGAAGTTCGCTGGATCCAAGTCCTTCCACCAAATGACCGACGAGCAGCTCAAGGTCTCGCAGTCGCAATGGTGGTGGTGGTGGTGGTGGTGGTGGTGGTGGTGGTGGTGGTGGTGGTGGTGGTTCGAGTTGTATGGTGGTGGTGACGGGTTGGCATCAGATGGCGGTGGTGACGTGATGTGCGCTTGCATGTGTACACCACAACAACCACTTGTGTGTGTGTGTGTGTGTGCGTGTGTGTTGTTCTCACATCGTTGAATCGTTGACTGCTGGTACAGGCGGCTGGCGTCTATCACGATCAAGGCTTTGATGCAAGCGACTTTGAGGCCCTGTTTGGCCAGGCCAACCTCAAGTGCATCCACGCACAGGTCAGAGTGCGCGCGTGCATGCGTGCGTGCGTGCGTGCGTGCGTGCGTGGAATCACCAACACGGTGATTGCCATCCTCGTCGCATTTCGTGTTGTCCCGTTGCATGATCGTTGATCGTTTCCCGCTCGCTGTTCATCTTCTCACGTCACCACTGGCCACACACCCGCTCGTTCCCGCAGAGCCACTTCCGGATGACCATGCCCGATAACATGCCCAAGCCTGG